TAATTATGAGAATATCTAGGTATGATCATGTATATAGGCATCACGTCCGCGACAAGTAGACCGAAATGATTCTGCATCTACTACTATTACTCCACACATCGACCGCTATCCAGCATGCATCTAGAGTATTAAGTTCATAAGAACATAGTAATGCTTTAAGTAAGATGACATGATGTAGAGGGATAAACTCATGCAATATGATATAAACCCCATCTTTTTATCCTCGATGGCAACAATACAATACGTGGCGGTTTCCTTTCTGTCACTAGGATCGAGCACCATAGGATTGAACCCAAAGCTAAGCACTTCTCCCATTGCAAGAAAGATCAATCTAGTAGGCCAAACCAAACTGATAATTTGAAGAGACTTGCAAAGATAAACCAATCATACATAAAAAAATTCAGAGGAGATTCAAATATTGTTCATAGATAAACTTGATCATAAACCCACAATTCATCGGATCTCGACAAACACACCGCAAAAGAAGATTACATCGAATAGATCTCCAAGAAGATCGAGGAGAACTTTGTATTGAGATCCAAAGAGAGAGAAGAAGCCATCTAGCTAATAACTATGGACCTGTAGGTCTGAAGTAAACTACTCACACATCACCGGAGAGGCCATGGAGTTGATGTAGAGGCCCTCCATGATCAATGCCCCCTCCGGCGGAGCTTCGGAAAAGGCCCCGAGATGGGATCTCTCGGGTACAGAAGGTTGCTGCGGTGGAATTAGGTTTTCGTGGTGCTCCTGGATGTTTGGGGGATACGTGGATATATATAGGAGGAAGAAGTACGTCGGTGGAGCAACAAGGGGCCCATGAGGGTGGAGGGCGCGCCCCCTGCCTCGTGCCCTCCTCGGTCGTTTCTTGACGCCCACTCCAAGTCTCCTGGATCATGTTTGTTGAGAAAATCACGTTCCCGAAGGTTTCATTCCGTTTGGACTCCATTTGATATTGCTTTTCTTTGAAACCCTAAAATAGGCAAAAAAACAACAATTTGGGCTGGGCCTCCGGTTAGTAGGTTAGTCCCAAAAATGATATAAAGGTGTAAAATAAAGCCCATTAACATCCAAAATAGATAATATAATAGCATGGAGCAATCAAAAATTATAGATACGTTGGAGACGTATCGGTATTACAGGAGCAGATACAGACGTTATGAACGTTTGGTAAAGCTCGGTATGATGACTACTTGATAGTTTAGTGCACCATGCTTTACGGCTTAGAACCGGGACTTAAAAAATGTTTTGAACGCCACAGAGCATATAAGATGTTCTAAGAGTTGAAATTGGTATTTCATACTCATGCCCGTGTAGAGAGGTAGAAGACCTCTGACAGTCCTTTGCCTACAAGATGGAGGAGAATAGCTCAACTAGTGAGCATGTGCTCAGATTGTCTGGGTACTACAATTGCTTGAATCAAGTGGGAGTTAATCTTCGAGATAAGATAGTAATTGACAAAGTTCTCTAGTCACTATCACCAAGTTACTAGAACTTCGTGATGAACTATAATGTGCAAAGGATGAACAAGACAATTCACCATGTGCGGTGCCCCCCTCCACCATAATCCACCTCGGTCATATCATAGCGGTGCTTAGGCGAAGCCCTGTTCCCGTAGCATCATCATCACCTTCATCACGCCGTCGTGTTGACGAAGCTCTCCCTCGACACTCTGCTGGATTGTGAGTTCGTGGGACGTCACCGAGCCGAACGTGTGCAGATCGCGGAGGTGCCGTACTTTCAGTACTAGGATCGGTCGATCGTGAAGACGTACGACTACATCAACCGCGTTGTCATAACGCTTCCGCTTACAGTCTACGAGGGTAAGTAGACAATACTCTCCCCTCTCGTTGCTATGCATCACTATGATCTTGTGTGTGCGTAGGAAATTTGAAATTACTGTGTTCCCCAACAAGGGCGCGCCCCCTACCTTGTGGGCCCCTCGGTGACCCCCTGACCTAGATCTTCCTCCTATATATTCACAAACCACCAGAAGCATCCATGAAAACACTTTTCCACCGCCGCAACCTTTTGTTCCCTTGAGATCCCATCTAGGGGCCTTTTTCGGCATCCTGCCGGAGAGGGATTCGATCACGGAGGGCTTCTACATCAATTCTATTGCCCTTCTGATGAAGCGTGAGTAGTTTACCACAGACCTACGGGTCCATAGCTAGTAGCTAGATGCCTTTTTCTCTCTCTTTGATTCTCAATACCATGTTCTCCTCAATGTTCTTGGAGATCTATCTGATGTAATCTTCTTTTGCGGTGTGTTTGTCGAGATCCGATGAATTACGGATTTATGATCAGCTTATCTATGAATACTATTTGAATCTTCTCTGAATATTTTTATGCATAATTTGATATCTTTGTAATTCTCTTCGAACTATCGGTTTGGTTTGGCCAACTAGATTGGTTGTTCTTGCAATGGGAGAAGTGCTTAGCTATGGGTTCAATCTTGTGGTGTCCTTTCCCAGTGACAGTAGGGGCAGTAAGGCATGTATTGTATTGTTGCCATCGAGGATAAAAAGATGGGATTTACATCATATTGCTTGAGTTTATTCCTCTACATCATGTCATCTTACTTAATGCATTACTCTGTTCTTCATGAACTTAATACTCTAGATGTAGGCAGGAGTCGGTCGATGTGTGGAGTAATAGTAGTAGATGCAGAATCGTTTCGGTCTACTTGACACAGATGTGATGTCTATATTTCATAATCATTGCCTTGGATATCATCATAACTTTGCACTTTTCTATCAATTGCTTGACAGTAATTTGTTCACCCACCGTATTATTTGCTATCTTGAGAGAAGCCACTATTAAAACATATAGCCCATGGGGTCTATTTTCCATCATGTAAGCTTCCGGTATACTATTTTTCATCATATAAGTTTTCGATCTACTATTTTGCAATCTTTTACTTTCGATCTATAAACCCAAAAACCCCAAAATATTTATTTTATCTTTTCTTTAGTTTCATCTATCTCTATTAGATCTCACTTTTGCAAGTGACCGTGAAGGGATTGACAACCCCTTTATCGCGTTGGGTGCAAGTTGTTTGATTGTTTGTGCAAGTATTGGTGATTTGTGCGTTGTCTCCTACTGGATTGATACCTTGGTTCTCTAACTGAGGGAAATACTTATATCTACTTTGCTGCATCACCATTTCCTCTTCA